CCACCCAGGACCACCGCCCACCATCCTTACACCACGAGCACACGCATTTGACGATCACAGGAGAGGATTTCGCCCTGCTTAGTAAACAGATACAAGAAGGCACTGATTGCTTCTGGTGGCAAGACCTGGAACATGTGCTGTTGCTGAATAGTCCGTGCTGAATCACAGTCACCCTGGGTGCCGCCTGCCCAGTCTCGGACCCGCCTCCTGAGTGTGGGGTCTGAGCCCATGGTCACAGCCTTTGAGCTGATTCGTCTCCTGGACGGTCTTACCCTGTTTCACTGACCCTCTGTTTTCACCAAGCAGGGCGCCCCTTCTCCCAGGACTGGACGCTCTGATGACAGGTCACAGGACAACTGTTCCACGGGGTTCCTGGGGATGTAAATCTTCACAGATGCAGGCAGCCCCATTTGTCTCCTTGGGAGAAGAGGCTCATGCAGCGGTTCTCAACCCTTTTGGGGGTCAAATGACCCTTTCACAGGGATCCCCCGATTCATAACAGTAGCAAAATCACAGTGAAGAAGTCGCAATGAAAATAATGTGATGGTTTTTTTTGTGTGGGGGCACCACAACACGAGGACTGTATGAAAGGGCCGCGGCGTTAGGAAGGCGGAGAACCACCGAGCTAGTGGCTTTGAACTGCTGACTTTGTGGTTGGCAGCCCAGCCACGAGCCCTGTACACCACTGGGGCTCTATAAGCCGTTTGATTTGAGCATCATCTCATCTTGGCCAATTTAAGGTGCAAGTGCTCAGCTTCACTAAGCAATACAACAGAAGTCTGTGGTGGCGCACATGGTTAAGCACACGGCTGCCAATGGAGAGGTCGGTGGTTCGAATATACTCGAGGTCCCTCGGAAATAGGCCTGGCAAGGAGACCAGTCTCTGGAGAAGGACGTCCTGCTCAGTCAAGCAGAGGGGCAGTGAGAAGGTGGAAGACCCTCAAGGAGATGGGTGGCCGCCACGGCGGCCCCAATGGGCTCAAACGTGAGAATGACTGTAAGCACGGCGCAGGATGGGGCGGCGTTTCCTTCTGTGGTTCCCAGGGCCGTCCGCCGTGGGTCAGACGGTGGTTCTGATTCATGGCGATCCTACAGAACAAGGTAGGACTGCCCCTATGGGCGGTTATCTCAGGAGCAGATGGCCCTACCTTTCTCCCAAGGAACCCCTGCTGACCTGGAAGCTAGCAGCCCGCTGCTCAACCCACCACGCCACCAGGCTCACCTGGGAAGGAACCCTCTTTGAATGTCCTGTGGGGCACAGCGCCACCCTGACCTGTGAGTGGGGCCGGACGCCGTGCCGGTGGATTTGGTGGTGGATCGGTGAGGAGTGCAATGCAAAAAGGACCTGGACCACAGGCACCCTCCCTGTGGGTGGGGCGCCAGGGAGACTTACCCACTGGTGTCCATGCCCTGCAGCCGCTGAAGCAAGGTCTCCGAGAGGCTCCGCCTGCTGCACTCGGGCACCCGGGGGCTCTCACTCAAAAGAGGAACTTCCTTGGCCTCGCAGGGCCCCGCAGATAAGGGGATGTTCCTTGGGGGCAGCTCGGGCGGAGACATGACGCATTCTGCCGAGAGAACAGCAAGAATCTCGGTTTTTGTGTGAAGCACCAGCTTCTCTGAGGTTCACCCATCCACAGAGAGGATCTGAGGGGGGCAGCCCGGGAGGTTACTCATCTGTGAGGGACCACGCCCCCCACCCCTGCTGCCAGGAGTCCCCGGGCGGCACAGGTGGCTAACCGAAGGGTTGAAGGTTTGAGGTCCGGGGGTGCCTCAGAGGAAAGGCCTGGTGGTCTGCTTCCCCAAACCTGGCTAACTCTGTGTCTTCAACTGGTGAGATTGCGGGCACTGTGCCTATTACACAGATTCCCCATCTGTTAGGCATGGAGGGCCATGGGACCTTTCAGCTCCCATGGTTCTTAGGGCTCCCACTACTTCCTACTCCCTGGCTGCACCCAGAGGCTCCTGAGGGCTAAATACAGAGCGCATGCAACTGGTAGACAGGGCCCCTAGGGCGGACCAGGGCCACAGGCAGGCCAGGGACAGGCCAGGAGGAAGAACAAGAGGTCACCAGGTCCACCCAGACCCTCTCCTCCACTTTCTTCCCACCCCCCC